GTTGCATTGATTTTACTAGGATTATTATTTAATATTTTGTTAGTGTGATTTGTTAATATATTATTGTTGTGTTGGGATGTATAATTATCGATGTTTTAGTACAGGTACAGTATCTTACCTTAATATTATTTTTGTTGAAAATCTTTTTTTAGTGTTGGAGAATGACCAAAGTGTTTGTGAATTAAATTAATCATGGGAGCATACAATTCTGCCGAAGCATGCCAACTTATAGGGATACAGTTACTATGGAGACTCAGATTTATCTCTGACATAATAAACAACGTGAGAGCTTAATTTAATAATATATTTTAATAAGTACCAATTATTTATATTACAACTAACGGCGATTTTGTATGCAAAACATGGAGTTATCCCCCTTGACACATAACGTGTTTACGTAAATACAATTTTTATTTTTTAATTATATAAAATATTTTTTCTTTTAAATCTTCGCCTTCCGTGATTAATAATTTCAATGATATAAATTATGAATAACTAGCAGTAGAGCCCGGCGTTGCCCGGGGATGTTAACAGTAAGAGATAGATCAAGTATCGACCATCATAAAGACTGAAAAATAAAATTGACAAAGATTATTGTTTAAGGTTGACGGACATGCATGTCTTAATTAGTTTTATTTTTTTTTTGTTTTTTTTGTTTTTGTTTTGTTTTTTTACGAATTGGTCAAACCCAAACTCAAACAAAAACATTGTTTTCAATCGTTATGAGTCTACCAATTGAATAGAATTTTATTATAAACAATTGTCTTGTAAATGGAATTTTTAAAGCATTCTGAATGTAAAAATAAAGAAAAAAGTGCGCAAGACAATAAGAAACACTACCTGCCCCCCAAAAGTGAAGTTTTGATGAAATTGGTTGAAAAATGTAGGAAATCCGATCCCATATATAAACGAACACACACACACACACACGCACACACACACACACACAAACAACCAACCTGGGTTTTATAATAAGTAAAACTCGATAACTAGATATTAATAAGTATAACTCGATATGAGTTGTCCCCCTTATATTAATGCCTCTTAATCGTGTTTTCAAATTGATTTCGTGCAAAAACAATTGTGTTTTCCCATTTTTGGCGCTATCAGAACCACCGCAAAGGTAATTTTACGTAGTTCTGTGAAGTTTTGTTGAAATCAGTTGAAAAATGTAGGAAATCCGATCAATATATAAACGTACAGACACACACACACACACACACACACACACACACACACACATCTGCGTTTTATAATGATTAAGATTAATTCGAATATTACCGGCAACAATAATAAAATGAACAAAACTTAACGCACAATTTTAAATCAACACCACGAGAACGCGAATGTCATAACGCTTAACGGTCAGTGATTATTCTGTACCTGAAGATTGCGTATCTGCATGAAACTCCGAATCGTGCTATCGACGTGGGATATTATGTAGATTCAATAATATATACTTAATAGCTCTGTTATACAACATTGAGCATTGTTTTAATACACCTGAGAAAAGATATATATATGTACGTGTAAGTACCGTAATTCCCTGTGTATGATACGCATTTTTTCTAAAAAAAAATAATAAACGAAATTAGGGTTGCTTATTATGGACAGCTACAAAGATCTTCAAAAAATGCCGCTTCATAGGTCGATTTCAGTTGCGAAATGACTACTCACCACAACCATACGACAATTTGACACTAACATTCGGCGATTGCGACCACATAAGGATGTCAAATACAATCATATTTATCTAACAAATCTTACAAATGTAAAATACAATAAAAAATTATCATAAAACTAAATTAAAATAATATTATTCTATGTTTAAAACCATTTTTTGTGAAAAATCATATACAGATCCGGTAAATTACACATTTTATCGATCAAAAACAGGTTAACGAGTCTGCGCAGTGGACGCGATATAGGTATTTCCGTTTCCTTTTAGAATCGTGATGATAAGAAATTTTGATAAATATCTTCAATTACAGCTTGAATAAGCGTAAGAAACGCTGGTTGTAATGAAATTGGAGAGGTACAATTTATAGGGTTTGGTTACTAAAAAGGGGTGCGTATTATGCGTGAGTAGAAGCATTTTCCCACACTTCCAGCACAAATATTGTGCTGCGCATTATGGATGAGGGCGTATTATACATGGGGAATAACGGTATATGTGCATATAAATATGCTTTTTATTATCCCTATATCTATCTCTACACACACACACACACACACACACACACACACACATATATATATATATATATATATATATATAATACAAGTAAGTTTTTTTTTTTTTTTACTTAGCTGATTTTACTTTCATCTGATGTTGCCTTCATCATCCCGACTGCAGAGTTTCGTAGACGGACCTTCCGAGAATCTCACCGTCCACTCGTCAGGGGTATCAACAATTGATTGCTTAAACATCTCGAAAGAGACAGTGAGTGGAGAAGAGGACTGGAAACATTTTAGTGTGTTATAATAATAATAATAAATT